CTCAAAAATGGTCCCTTCTCTCATAACCACGAGCAATTCAACCTCCACAAATTCGGCAACATCCTCGATCTTTGACCACGTTTAACCCTAGATACGACCTCAAAGTGGTAAATATGACCCTTCTTGGTACTTGTACCAACTTACGGTTGACCCTGCTGGAAACCCTGGACACCATCAACTGGAAAACAACCCGTTCTCTCCTACCTCATTTGTGGCCAGCTCCTGCTGCTTGTGACTCCAAGTGATGACAGTCATTCAGCATTTGATTTTAGCCAACCGATTCCGTCAAGAATTCGAATTCGGTAGTGTACTGCTCACGATCGTTCACGTCCTTCCTCATGATTCTGGAGTTTTCACCTGCCGTGCCTACAGCCCACAAGGAGAAGCCACTACCAGTACCACTGTCAAAGTGCCAGGTGAAAATATGCTTGCCTCTACCTCTGGCGCTTTTTTTCTTCTAATGGCTGCAATAAATTTTATGCTTCATTTGAACGCTCTGCTTGCAGGTTATGAGACTCTTATGCTTGACTCGCATCACCCGGTGTCTTGGCAGAGAATTCAGGAGCTCGAGGCACCAAAGGTGAGTTGACCGCTCTAGCTTGACTTTTGGACAGCTCATAAAATAACCTACTGTCGTTCAGGTCGTCGAAGAGGTCGAGGAAGTGATCCAGCGCGAGATGCCTCGCTTCGTTACCCAACTGCAACCCGTGGAAGGCATTCAAGAAGGCCAACCAATCCACCTCGAAGCCACCTTCGAACCGACAAGAGATCCCGACATGGAGGTGGTATGGAGGAAGAACGGGCAACCAATCATCGCTTCTCAACTCGTTCAAACTCATCACGAACTCGGCTGGGCTACGCTCGATATTCCAATGGCCAACGAAGATCATAACGGTGGGTTATAGCACAGCTCATGGGCACTTTATGAGGATCAATGCTGTTTTTTAGGCATTTACACTTTAACGATCAAAAACAGCGAAGGTATGGCGGTATCGACCGCACCAGTGAAGGTCACCAACTTGGCTCCAGTACTCGGAGACACCAGACACGAGGAATCGTGGCGACGTATCCAGATCCTCGAAGCGCCAAGAGAGCCCGAGCCTGAGGCACCAGCTCGTATCTACGACCCTCCGTTCATCACCACCCAACTCGAGGACAAGGTTTCTTTTGATCTTTCTGGGAATAAGTCAGACTAAAGGGATACTTCCAATCATTACCGTATTCAGGAATGCAACGAAGGCGATCGTGTACACTTCGAAGCCGTCTACGGACCTGTCGATGATCCAAATCTGCAAGTACAATGGGTACGAAACGGAGAGCCACTCGCACACGGTTCCAAATATGCGATCAGCAAGGACTTCGGCATCAGCACACTCGACATTGCTTACGCTTTCCCTGAAGATCAGGTAGGTAGCACAGGGTTCACGTTACCCACCGACAAGGGTATCAGCACGGTTTACGGACTACTTGATTTTTCCTCAATGGTCCTGCCGCGATGGCTAGAGCACAGACGATTAGAGAACGGGTGAATGCCCTAGGACTAAGCCTTGGAGAGGAGAGGGACCCGCGAGAGAGCGCAGAGGCGGTTTAAAGGGCTGAGTTCAAGTAGTCCGTCGACCGTATTAGCACGTTCTATCCTCATATGAATGTTCCGCCCGCGAAGGGGGAGCGCACGCGATGAGCGACGTCGCACTACCGCGGGCGGGATATTCAAATAAGGGAAAACCCCTCCTACTCGCCGGCAACTCGTCCAGTTTGAGCAACAATGATGTCAATGGACGAGTTTTTCAGGGTGTCTACCAAGTGCGCGTCTTGAGTCCAACTGGTGAGGCTGTATCGTCAGCGACACTGAAGTGCCATGGCAAGGACGCGATCCTCGGCGACACACAGCATGCTGAATCCTGGGCTCGTATCCAGGAAATTGAAGCTCCTAAACCCAAGGTACAATGTGGAATTTCAATATGTTGA